TTGTGCACTGGTTTTAAAATGAGAGGACAATGTTTTTGGGGTCCGCTGTAAAAGCGTTGTGCACTATATGTGGTGCATCTGTACTGTAAAACATTCCGGACTATCTTATGTCGAGAATCTCATAGTTCTGAGCATCGTTTTATTCCTGGAATTTCTGTTGGCCGAGACATAATATGTGTTTCGGCTGAGAGCATCACGGCTGTCGTCAAGTCTTATAATTAAAACGGACAAAGTTAAACAGGGCAAATAACTAGTACGAACTTATGAATGTAGTATAATATATGATAAATGTTATATTTACTAGGTTTTACCATCGATATGTTCATGTTATTACCAAAATAATTCAGAACCCATTTACGTGCTATTTGACATGCGTCACCACTTTTAAAACTAACCATCTCAAATTATTCTCGCGGCATCACTTTGAATCTCCCTTAATTACTAAAACTTAACAATGTTTTACAGTAGCCCTTTAATATACTCCTTTATGATATATATATTAGTATTACAACAGACGCACCACAACGCGGCTGTGTGTCGGTAAAAATTACTTTAATTTACTCCTTTAAAAATTACTCGATTGTTTTTTGACGGGTGTTCATGGTCTGTCATGAAAACAGCGCGGCTGTCACTCGCTGGAAAAGCTTTTTACTCGTTGACATTTATGAGATAATTCACTTCGACTTTATTTTACAATGAACTCCTATGATAGATTAATTTTCCTCTGGGTGGTACACAGGTGTATTATTGTAATCAGAATGACTCTCCCCCCGTGAATTTGTCATTTTATCGTGGTGATTTTGTTGATAGATTGACGTTTCACGGACTCTATGGCAGCTTTTTGAGTAGTTCTTTAAATATTTGTTTAACTATTCGTTTTACTGCCCGCCCCCAAACCGGCAGATATCTACCTTGATAAAAGTCCGTAAAACAATCCGTTGTCCACTGCCCAGCTTAAACTACTAGATCTTACTTTTTGAGCTCTCTCTGTCTCTATTTCTCTGTCTCTCTTTCAAACCAGCACGTTCGATCTACACACACATTACATGTTCCAATTGTCGCCCTCTGAAACAGATAAGTGCGAATAACTGAGCTCCGTCAGCTGCACTATACTGCGTCACCTGTTCTCTAGCTGTTGAATTGCAGTTCTCGTTGTAGAGTGTTCCTATAAGTGTTGTCAGATGAAATTAGGTCCTGAGATCACGAAAATTACGCCGTCTTCTCCGTTTTCGTTTTCTGTGCGTGTTCTGATAAGATCACCGCTTTTGCTGATCGTAGAGGTTAAGTTCAGTTAACGAGTGACGACACTTGGTTGTACACAGCACCCTCAATGCACTTCCTGTTTTCAATCTCTGACACTGCTCATTTCCAAAGGTTTTACCGTTTAAACAGTTTTAAACAGTTTTAAACCGTTTTAAACAATTTTAGTCCAGTTTTGTAAACCATTTTTTAAATTAAAATCCCAGACGCTGGCCAAGTGCTATTCCCATTCAATCATATATAATAACTTGTGTAATCTTAGTTCCTTATCTTCGAAACATATTATGTACCTATGTTGCTTAGAGATTTTGCACGATTTAAATAAAATCCCATGTTAATTGTGATTTCAATCTCCGTCAGTGGTCATTTCCACAAATCAACTGTCAGTGTCGCTATCGTTTCCATCGTTTCTCTAAATTTATTAATTGAACTGAATTATGCCAGACAAGCATTATATTGTTCAACTTTCCATGCGTCGCAATAATTTCCAATTAAGTCGTGTAATCTTAGTCCCTTCTTGTTGAAATGGCGTTGATATTTGACATGACTCAAAAAACATCTTACGTCCATTTGAATTTGATTTGTTTGCTGTTTCTTGAGTGACCGGTGAAATACGGTGCTTTCAAAGAACTGTACTTCCAAATATTTCAAACTGACAACTTAAAGTGAAGTCACCCTAAAAGCTTCGAATTTCGCGACCAAAGACACTTCAATTACCAAATACCAAATACCACACGTGCATTTGGTGGCTGATATCCTTGGAGCAGGATTTCAGGAGAACCGCAATTGTCATTCTGATTTCATTTTCTCGTATACGACTGAGCCTTGTCTGTAACTATTTTTACGGATTACCTTACTGTTGGATTCGCAAAATCTTGTCCTTCCCATGTTATTTTCTGTTTCTGTACACGAGATGTCCTTATCACGTGACCGTTTTACTATAGACCTAATGACGTCATCCAACTAAAAAACTACATTAACCTTATCATGGTGACGTCATAAAACTCAAAACCACGTCACAACATTGGCAGTGCAACTCCCGAGTAATGCACACACCACAGAACTAGAAACCTTACAATACCCCTCTGAATCTCCTCATATCCAAGCCTGTTCGTTTAGCCTTCACCCAAAGACTTCTGTACTCATTAGCTATCTCGGGCTTCCTTCTCCCCAGGCGCTAATAGCAGCTGCACTCCCCAGACTATGTAACCAGTCTGGAGGGGGGACCTTGTTAAAACACTCCAAAAACACAATATTGGTCTGGTGGTCGGCTACTCTCTCTCTCTACAAACGGATACAGATATGTACACTATATGTGGTGTCAGTGTATCAAATGATTGGTGAGCGTGTAGGGCGGGAGAGAGAGGGTAGATGTGTACAAATCTAGCGTCACTTGGCAGGCTTGTTTTAACAACCAGCACAACAACTAGTCAGTCTATATAGCTATAGGGAGCTAGATACCAGCTAGTGTTGGCGTGTATACCACCGGACAGGGATCTTCTCATGCCCAGCTTCCTGTTGCTAGGTGATTGCTGGGCTGTGCACGTGCTCGCTGTCTGATTGCACGTGCACACTCGTTCTTCTCTCCGATCCAGCCCACACTGATATCTCTTTTCTCGTGAGGCTATAAAACATGTTGAAACTGAAACAAGTTAGAGATGAGCCTATTTTTAGAACCTCTCTCTCTCCAGCTCTTGATCAGAGTGGGTGGTATTATCGAGCTGGTCCAGCCGGCTACTTCTACAGCCCACACGGACACTATCATTCAGGGTCTCTAGTTCGGGTTCTGCCGTGCAGCGCAGCCCGGCCTGCTAGTGCTCATTAATGTTTAACTGGTCGCGTAAGTGTTTTTCAGTTTGTGCGTCAGTTGTGCGATGTTAATTGTGTGGCGTCTGCATGGGTTCTCTCTGGTGTGTTAATTGTTTTTCTATCGCGATGTAGCCCTCGTTGCTGGACATTCCGGTGACAACTTCCCCCTCAATGTACGCTGCTGACTCCTGTATCACTGTGTTACTGTTCTCTCGTAGTACTGTTCCAATGCAGCATATAGTGGTAAAGAGTTCTTGTCGTCGCTAAAGAGTTCTTGTCGTCGCTTAAGGGTTCTTGTCGTCGTTTAAAGGTTCTTGTCGTCGCTAAAGGGTTCTTGTCGTCGTTAAAGAGTTCGTGTCGTCGCTTTAGGGTTCTTGTCGTCGTTCAAGGGTTCTTGTCGTCACTAAAGAGTTCTTGTCGTTGCTTAAGGGTTCTTGTCGTCGTTAAAGGGTTCTTGTCGTCGTTAAAGGGTTCTTGTCGTCGTTAAAGAGTTCGTGTCGTCGTTAAATGGTTCTTGTCGTCGTTAAAGGGTTCTTGTCGTCGCTTAAGGGTTCTTGTCGTCGATAAAGGGTTCATGTCGTCGCTAAAAGGTTCATGTCGTTGTTGTGCCGGTTGCAATTACTCACTCCGCGAGTAAAATAGCCCTCTATTAAACAGCGTGTGATCGTAGTGCAAATTATCGTAGTGCAAATTATATTTCTGGTTGATTTGTAATGGATATTTATAGTGGATGTCAGGGACACTCCGTTTTTGGTCACACAACCTTACCTTATGGTCACGTGACGGTCATTCTAACAAATAATCGCAGTTTGTGGGTCGGCCGAGCAGGCGCCATATTATAGCACCTACCCATATCCCTTTATGTTGAGTGCATTTTGTCAGCTACCTTGAGAGAACAACTACTGTATTTGCGGTGCTCTTAGCGCTGCTTTTAGATTGATTTCGCTTTTTGAAGAATATTGAAAATCCTTAGTAGTCATAATTATGAAATATTATGAAATGTGGGTTCATTTCAAGATTTAAGGTTTATCTGTAAGTTCAAAATTAATGTATCGCTGATAAATCATAGTCTGGTCAGGACTTGGAATATGGTTAGAGTATTTAGCGTATTTAGAATATACTTAGAGGTATCAAACTTATAGGTGCATCCCAGTGAAATTAAACTCAGATCAAAGTTCAATCTACACTCAACCCCTCATTTGTCCTACTTCGTTCTATGCGGCAATCATAAATCATAATTAAACTATTGAACATTCGCTTCAATCAAGTATTAGAGTATTAGATATATTATAAATGCTTTTGGATAACTGGTTAAGCAATCTGCTTGAGGTGGCAACCCTACCACCACTCCCAAACTAGTGGTTATCTTAAATCATGTTCATTTTGCTAATGTGGCCACCTTGGGAGGAGACACGATTGTATCAAACCTCTTAAAACAACCCCTCCAGCTCTTTGAATTGAATTATCGTTAAATGTGTGCCTCCTTCGCCACGTTATACGGGCTGTTTGTTACTGTTAAACGACTCTCAGCCTTCTTGCCTTTACTAGGTAACAAGTTCTTTGATATTCTACGTTTATTTTGTTAATTTAGTCACCATGCTAGAGGAATAATTATCTTACAGATTGTTCCGCTTTGATATAATGGTGCTTGATGTATCGCTTAAACGATTCTTGGTCTTCTTGACTAAATCGGTATCTTGCCTTCCTCAGTTAAACTGTTGATAACCCCTTTCTGCTCAAATTTGAGAACTTGGTAGTTTACTACGTTATATCCATTTGCTTATATTAGTATATTTGATTATGCGATCGATTTTAAGATTAACTTGTTTTGTTGAATTCTCACAATATGAACCCGTTATATTTGTAAAGTTGTAAGCATGGTAGTATATTTGATGATATAGTTTTGTTCAACCCCCAAATGTACTAGTTGTGAGTATGGGTGAGCGGCTGTACAGTATAAACGAGTTCCTGCTGGCAGGGTTCGAGGATGAACCCTCAGAGGAATCAGAAGAGGACCAGAACCCTACTCTTCTCACCCAGCACTCTACCAGCACTATAGCACCCTTGAGATCAGACACCGAGAGTAACCACACTACTTGCCCCAACTTCTACAACAGCACGTACTCCATAAACTCCAATGCGTTCTCGATCCAATCCAACAACACGCACTCGAGGCACTCCAGTTCGCACTCCATCCCCAGACTGTCCTTCCAGAGTGCACAGTCAGGAGCTGACAGCGATAGCATGTACACTGAGGATGATTCCAGTATTGATGGCAGTTGTACCTTTCTTGAGTTCCTCAAAGAATGTGATGGCCCCGCTCAGTTTCAGAATAAGAAGGATGATTTCAACGATTTTCTCTATCAGGTAACTTATCTATCTTCTCTGTTGATAACAGTGTCTTTTAAAAGTTAAAGCACCCCTATTCCGCTGTTGACAGGACTGCACCCTTCAGTCCTGTTAATGGGAGAAGGTAGTGGCTATAAATGACACGTCTTTGTCGAGAATAATTGCATATAATATACTTTTGTGAACATATCTTGTAATTTTTGACGGCTGACTTTTAACAGTATAGGGCAATACTTCAATTATTGCTTCTGTTAACTTTTAAATTCACTTTCACAACATCAATTTATGTCGAATATACATATTTCTGTTCGCATAATTTCCACTGAATGAAATCTCACTGCAAGGCTTCAAGAGCCGGGGATTGTGATTCCATATTATTATTTGATACCGATACAATTACAGCCAGTTCGTCGCAGTTCCCGGCAATCCATCCTGACAACAGGATTTAACCAGGAGCTCACAGGATTTAACCAGGAGCTGACTCTTCTGGAGTTCCTCACTGAACCGGAGATCATGTACCAAGACATCATGTTCAGCGAAACAGCCTCCAATAGCCGCTGCTCCGACGCCAATTGCTCCGACACCACCTCTGAACAGTTTGATATGATCAGTTTACACGAGTTTTTGTCCGAATCATCTTCGCTGGAAAACGCCACCTCGTCTCCGGACCAGGTGATGTCCTCCTCACGGACCAGCTCCGTCAACTCAGAGACTGTGACGGAGAAAAAGAGGATCCAAACCCCTAGCACAAGATCGTCTTCAGATGCTTCCCTCGCTTCAGATAGATCTATTACCGGCATCAAGAAGGGCTCGAGAGAGTCCGGCATTAAGTGCTCAAGAGACAACCACTTTCGGTCTTCTAAACGAGGACTGAAAGACTCTAAAAACAAGCCCTCAAAACTCGAAACAATAGTTAGTCCTAGCACGGAAGAGGACTCTGGCGACATGTTCAGTTTTTACGAGTTGTTAGCCCGCCCTGAGTTGATAGACGACATGAAACCACCCGTTACAAATACTTTTACCAGTTCCGGTATATTAGATAACATTATTCGCCCTCTTATGTCACCAAAACCTAAGCCATTAAAACCCAGGAAACGTTTATCATCAAGTTGCAAGAGTTTAGATTCAAACGGGAGGGGGGAAATGAGGATGAAGACTGACAAATCATCCTCGATTTGCAGCAGCGAATCCCTTAACCATGCCACCTCAGAAACTAGTTTAGAAAGTAGCTCTGTTGACGACCACCCTACCGCTCCCAACCATTGTTCGTTGTTAGAATTCCTGCTTGAACCACCTCCTCCCAGCTACCTCGCCCCTTCTTCTGATCTTACCAGAACTTCGTCTTTCCTTTCCCTTCAGAGCGTTGCCAAAGATTACAAGGACTACAATGATTTCAATGATTACAATGATCTGTTCTCCAATCAACCGTTTTCTCAGAATTTTGGCAAAAAGCCCATTTATGGCACGAAGCAGTTATATCGAAGTAGAGCTAAATCAGATGAAGATTTGATGCAGGAGTGTTCTCTTGCGGAGTTTCTTTCGACACCACATCTCAATCTAGCTCCTAAGAAGCAATCTATCGGATCGGGTATTTTTGGTGGTTTTAGTCTCGCCAAATCCCTTAGACAGTTATCGTTGGGGTCTGTGTCCCTGGAAAAGTCTTTTACAGTGAGCGAGATTCTTGCACTTCGAAGGGTAAGTGATAAATTAGAACTTCGTTTTGTCCGGAGCTCTATTGGGCTCCCCTCTTTGACTGACCATTTTCTGTTTGATTTGCAAACTTCAAAGCAAAATTTAGACGTTTTTATAATAGATATTATTGACAGTTGGAACATTTACACCCAATATATATACGATTGAGATTTTATCTATGATGGTTCCCGCCTCTCGCCGTCTAAGTGCGCACTGCGCACTTGTGTTTATCACGGCTGTACAACATTTCCAAATATTCCACGCCTACAACAACCGTACTACACGACGTTCCAGTTGGGTGACTTAATTTGTTAAATTTACTCGCGGTCGAGACAAAGTACAGAGAATTTGGTGTCGTCTAGGTGGTGAGAAAGAGAGGTAGTCATGACAACCATCTCCCTAACTGTCACACTTCAACACCCCAACATACCAACTACCAATGTTCTTCACCTGTCGGCTGGTTTTCAGACTTGCACCTGTGTTTATGATACATCTGGATACCGGCGGGGAGGTGAACCATATTTGTTGTCTCACGTGACACCACCCACAGCTCCATAGTGATGATTCGAAGGTGTGTCCAGACTGGTCTGTGAATGGTCTCAACTCCCAATATTTGTAACTACATCGTGTAATTTAACGTGTGGAAACATGGTATAGTTGCTTGTTTTTGAGTTGAGGATAAGAAGCTGCATTCGTGCTTCTTTAATGAGGCCGATTATCCAAATTTGCAGCAAGGAAAATTGATCCCCCGTCAACCGAAGCTGTCAAAACGTCTGCTTTTAAACCTTTATTTATTTATTATAAATCTTTGGTTAATCAAAGTGCAATTTATCTCTGATTAATTTTGGTCAGAAGAAAGCACGTGCAGAGGATATCGCACGTGCAGTAGATCTCAATAAATCTCGTGTTATCCGGGGTGGAGCAAAGCACGTAAATTTCAATTTTCAGCCCTGGTTAATCATGTGTACAACAAGGCACCGTGTAGGGTTTGAGGCCGGAGTCTCTAGGACATGTTACGTGTAACCTAGCCTAGCTGTCAGCGAAAACCTCGACTTCACCCTAGTAAATTGTCCGGATTAGGACATTGGGAATTTCGCCACGTAGCATTGGGAATAATATTTGACATGTTTCCCGGGCGCTTGGCACAAGGTATCGCGAACCACGTGTGCTGCTTCCCCCCGCTAATTATGCCTCATTAATTATGATAAAACATGTGGTGTTGGTGGAATAATTTGTAATCGTTAATGTGCAGGTGTCTTCTATCGGCTGTTTGGAAAACTAAACAGGTTGAACAACTCCCGGCAGTTAGCTGGCTTCGGTGTTACCTCATTCTAAAAATTATGAAATATATGTGACAGGTTAAATTTTGTGAATTTCCATTCTCCAGTGTTGATTTGCACTTAAAGCTGGAGTCAACCGACGCCAAATTAGGCTTAAAACCTGCCTTCCCAAAAACTTCAGTTCACGTAATTTGTGAAACGCCGCAGGAATTACATCCAAAGATAGACTGTTACAACAAGCCCAAACATACAATTTACTGTCACCATTTCGTCTTGAAAGTTTGAAACAATGGCCGACTGTTGCTGGGTTCAAATTCTAAAGGATTCTCTGCATCGTTCTAAGATTTCGTCCGTACAAACTCTGTATGATTAGCATTTATACAGATCATTCGGGTTGTCATGACAACGCGCGTGGCCACTAACTCAGGGAGTTCCTGATCTGAGTATGGATTGATCAAGCCTCATCAATGCGATTCAGGGTAGATGGTGCTAATGGAAGGGAGAAGATAAAGTCTTGTTTTGATACATGACCAGTATGAACGAGATCATACTAGCGTCGAAATGCGACCGTTGAAAAGCTTCCCTTGTACTTTCAGCTACTCAGAAAGTTGCGAAATATGTAGTGGTGGTGTTGGAGTTGTTGTTGAGATAACGATTGATGAGGCCATGGAGTTTTATCAACAATTAAAGAAATTTTCCCAGAATTTCCTGAAATTTCTCTTGAGCTTTTTTGATTATTTACCCGTCGTCGCAGCGCGCCTATAATTTTGGTATGACCTAAAAATCTTCTTATTCTATCACAAGTAAGAGCTATTTCCACAGAAATCAAGCCAAACTCTTTATCTTGAAGTAAGTGTCATGCAAACAGTGCTTATCTTCTGTGAATAATACCTCTACTAAAACACAAGGATTTATTTTATCAATATTCTATCCTCAGGGGAGTATCCTAGACGACTTGTTGGGTGGTGAGATGAACAGTCCTGATAAAGCTGGTCTCCTCAAGAAACAAGGCAACAGCCGACTCAGGGACTGGAAGTCCAGATACTGCGCCGTTAAGGGTGAGATCAGCTCTTTTTTACATCCCCGTGTTGCTTGTCTGGATCTGGGTACCCCGACCTCTTGCTCTGCTTCCTGTTATAGTTTTTATTTATTTTCAGCCAATTATTGTAAGTTTAACATGAGCAAGCTGGGTGGTCGGCGGTCACCCTTTCAACTGCTAGACTTAGCTTAGACATTTGCGCATTTTTGTGAAATTAACAGCGGAGAATTAGAGTTCTTTATAGAGTTTCGGGTGTTGATTGTGTTGCCATTATCCCGTAAATTATTGGGCGAGTGAAAACTTCCTGACAACATCGATGTAGCTATAGTTTAACGGTTGTTAAATTGCATGAATTGCCGAATGTTATGCTAATATATATCATATACGAGGAATTGAGGACTATAGTTGTGATGTCACGTACTTAGCAGCGTTCCCCCACCTTTTTTATAATTCCCTGTCTCGTGCTGTAATAAAGCAGGAAACACAGTAAATTAGCCATCCCATAAAATTTAAGAGTGTCCTAATTGATTGAAATATTAATTTTTAAAAGACCTGATAAGTGCTAAGCTCAAAAACACTGAGCAGTAAGCTGTAAGAGTACAATCTAATAATCTAGATTAATAAATCTAGATAAGATAAGATCTAGATATTGATAAATCTAGATCAATCTAGTATTCCATTTTATTAGAAAATAAATGGTGATAAAAACCTTAACTTAACTTATTATTACAGACGGCACGTTCTGCTACTACGAGAGCTACGAAGCGTACTGTATAGCCACTCCCATAAACTCTATCTACTGTGGGACCCTCAAAGCTCAGATCTCGGACAGGGCCCGGTTCAAGTTCGAAGTCATTGTGCCGAACAGAACATATTAGTAAGTTACAAGATTGTTAGTTTATTGGAGAGATAGAGAGAGATATTGGGGATTATTTGACATATTTTGTCCTAGAAATGTTGCATATTCGACATACCTAAAATGTCAGCATACAATGAAATAGCCCAGAAAATGCAGCTAGTTGCGCATAATTACGGCCGATACTCAAGACGTATCGATCTAAATCATCACATATGATTCTGAATCTTGTAAGTGCAGGTGTTCTCTGTCTAGCAGCCCTCCTTTAAATACACCCCCTGTCATCAGATCCACTAGAATAATATCATATACTAATAAAACACAGCTACCTCTCCAAATCAGGGCTGGTATTAGAGAACCTCAAAACAGACCTTAATGCTATTCTCTCTAATTCGTCCTCCATTTCAGCTTTATGGCACAGACCGAATCAGAGATGATGTCGTGGATAGAGTCGCTAAATAAGGCGGTGGCTGCTGCTTTGACAGATCTCAAGTCCAGTGGCTCCACAGCTAAGGAGCTGATTCAGAGGATTTACGAGGAGCCTAGTAATGCTTTCTGCGCTGACTGTAATTCTCCCGGTAAGTAGAATAGTAATGCTTTCTGCGCAGGTTATAATTTAGGTATATTGTTCAACATGCACAGTGCATCTTAAATTCAATGTTACTTCAAAGTTAATAAACTGATTAACAATAATTTACAATTCCGTACGGGGAACCTTGTGATCTTTTACAGAACCTAAAACATTCAGTCAATGATCTCAAGCAAGCTATATAATAAGTATAATACCTCATTTCACTTTCAGATCCTAAGTGGGCAAGTATAAACCTCGGTGTGGTCGTCTGTATAAAGTGTAGTGGAAGTCATCGCGACCTCGGAGTTCACATCAGCAAGGTTAGAATTTATTATTTAATAATTAATAAATTATTTGTACGTTTTAAGTTAACACTGTTAGGGGAATGGTGGAATTTTATAATGATCGGTACTATGCAGTGATAATGAATCCAATGCTTGAGGGAAATGTTGGGGAAAAGGAATCTTAGGCGCAGCTGAAGCTTATTGGAGGCATCGGGAAGTTTAGAAGAGATTGTTGTACTTTTTTGCGCGCACTCCTTTTTGTGTAAATACCATGTAACGTTTTGAGTGGTCCGGTATCGTTTTCTATGATATCTTGGTTAATTGAGAAGGTTTAATTTTCATCGTATATCAGAATCTTCTATTCGCCTTCAAACGCGCGGAGAATGCCAAACTGTTTGAATAAAACGTTTCTTTTGATATCATTAATCATAACTATTAGCACAGTATTTACCGTTTGGGGGCTGTGTTAACCTCGTCACGACCACCTCTGCGATACTATGACCTAGTCTTCCTTCATAATCAAGTTCTGTATCAGTGATGTAGATCATGTCCCCCGCTGCTCCGTTACAGTTTAGAGAGAATGTCTGGAATTCTACACTGTCGTCGTATTCCAAATATGAAAAGTTAAGCATTTGTTTGTGCTTTTTAGAAATTCATCACCTTTATAAAGATTAGATAATAAATACGTTGCAAAAGTACGTTAAAGAAACGAATCATACGTACATCACGTATTTTAAGCTTGGTACGACATCAGAATAGAGGGCTGTATAAGGTCCTGACTCTAGATTAAATCCCTAAATGTGACCACCTACCGGCAACATAGCCACAAGTAGCGACTTTAGAATCACCCCCTGTAGCTGCTCCCCCAGCAGTGTAAACCATCACCTTGGTACCCACTATCCTCCCCTTACAGCACAGCCCTATATTCGTCACCCTGACCTCCCCGACCCTGTACGTCTGTGAGAGGTACAGTTTCAGGTAGTTTCCTTCAGCGTCCCCGTCCTTTACACTGTACATGGTGGTGAGGTCACCGTCCAACACGTTTCCTGGTGCCCGTTTGCTAGGGTCGGAGTTGTCCCAGTACCAGCTTTTAGCTTCCGCTCGTAGTACTTGTAAAACTTCTGGAGTTGGAGACTTTTTGTGAAGATTACCTACGTCTCAAGTATTTTTGTCGGAACAGTCGATTTAGTGTCTCATTTTCTTCGTCATCAATCAACATTTAAATAAACGTATAATATTTCACTTACCAGTTTTATCAATTATTGGTGGGAAAGATAACATAACCGAGATCATCCCAGAGAAAGCCACCATAAACCATAAACCTTTAAACATCTTCAGGCAAGCGAGCACAACGTTTAATTTCAAACAAATCAGAATAACAAGAACCAGATGTTTGATCGATCACTAGGCGACTAATTCCCTCGTCGTTTTAAATATTCATAAATTAATTCTACTTGGGGTTCTCATTTTAGCGTGTTCTGAGTTCTCCTATAGATACTATGGAGCTCTATCGTTGTTATCATGGCCTTCACTAATCTTAACAATATTCATGAAGTCAATAGTCCGTAGAGTTCCGTACCGCCATTTATAAATGTATTGATGACATCTTAATATTGGTATGAGTTGGCTCGGGAGAACTGATTATTGGTTGTAGTGGTCTTGCCATGCTCTAACTCGACGTCATTCACAATCACTTGTCTTCCAAGATTTCCATGGAAAGTCATTGGTACTGGTTAATAAGGGAGAGAAATTCCAGCATATCCTAATCCTATACTAAAACATTGAAACACAATTATGAGCTGAAATTAACTTGACACGCTATATCTACAAGCAGTTCTAATTAATCAGATAATTCCGGATTTAACCCTCTTAAAAATAATTTTCCATCATGAAAATAAATAAAATCTGGAAACTACCGTAAACAAGATCTAAATTTAGCATGATTCAATAAACTAGCCCTCAGTTCAACAAGTTCTCTCAACAACAGCAGAACGAGAGAAACTTTGTGTTCCAACTCTTTCTTTCGGGTGGGCGACAATTGACCCCCCGACAATTGACCCCCCGACAATTGACCCCCCCGACAATTAACCCCCCGACAATTGACCCCCGACAATTGACCCCCCGACAATTGACCCCCCGACAATTGACCCCCCGACAATTGACCCCCCGACAATTGACCCCCCGACAATTGACCCCCCGAAAATATAATTTAATACAATTAACCTTGACCCTAACCCTAACCCTAACCCTAACCCTGACCCTGACCCTGACCCTGACCCTGACCCTGACCCTGACCCTGACCCAGGACCCTGACCCAGGACCCTGACCCAGGACCCTGACCCAGGAACAGCTGTCCCTGACCCTAACCCCAACCCGAACCCTAACCCTAACCCTAACCCTAACCCTAACCCTAACCCTAACCCTAACCCTAACCCTAACCCTAACCCTAATTTACCCCAGTTTAATAACAATTATCGGGGGGTCAATTGTCGGGGGGTCAATTTTCGGGGGGTCAATTGTCGTACTAAGCCCTAGATTTCGCGACAATTGACCCCAGTGTAATTACATAGGGGGTCAATTGTCGGGGGGTTAATTGTCGGGGGTCAATTGTCGGGGGGTCAATTGTCGTACTAAACCCTAGATTTCGCGACAATTGACCCCAGTGTAATTACATAGGGGGTCAATTGTCGGGGGGTCAATTGTCGGGGGGTCAATTGTCGGGGGGTCAATTGTCGGGGGGTCAATTGTCGCGGTACCTTTCTTTCACCTTAAAACAGTTACACTTGACAACATCAATAAAATGTTCCCTGAGTTTCTTCACCCTACAAATATACACGATCGGGTTTACAGCGGAGTTGATGACAATCGCCGAGTCTGCAAACGACACTAAATTTCCCAGGTAAGTCTCACTTCGTTCACCACGTAAAGTATGATATGCCCACATGGACGAGAGAGTAAGGCTGATGGTATTCCAAACCACGTACTGTACACCAAGTATCAGAACGGTTATTGCTGCGTTGATCCGAGATCCACTTGCTGCAGTCTCGTGTAGGGTCTTGTTTGGTAGCAAGAGTTTTACAGCGGAAACTGTGCAGCATACTGTCACTACCAGAACGATTGGAATTCCAAAAACCTCAAGTTCCCAATAGATGAATTTAACATGAGGTTCGTTTCCTGTAAATGGCGGGGAAGCCTCTGCTCCAGTACTCAATTTGTAGAAATAAACGGAATTTGGATAAGTGAAAAGCATTCCAATGGCGGTCTCTACTCCTACAAGTATGGTTATTAAAGCTATTAAAGAAGCCATCACGAGTCGTCTCTTGAATCTAACCATAGGCCAGAGTATAGCAGAGGTCCTCAGAATGTTGAGATATATCGTTAAAACTCCCGTTAGAATCAAACTACACCGAAAAGCGTGGTTGCAAAGGGTAGTCAACACTTTGGTTATAATGAAATTATGGATTTCATAAGCGATGATGTAGAGGAAAACCGCCAAGGATACGATCATATCTGCAATGTTCATGTAAGCTAAGAGAGCGTTGCCAAGTTCTCTGCGCCTCTTGATGAAGTAAGTGAAGGATACTGTATTGCAAATCAGACCAACTACACTGATAAAGATAATGGCCGGGTTGATCTCATCTCCCAGATCAGTTCTGATGACAACATCAGTCGGGGTTATTTTATCTTTCAGATCAGTCATGGTTGAGATGTTTTTATTCCTTGCAATGTAAAGAGTCCGAAAAACAGCTGTATCAGCTAAGAATGTTATAACAATTAATGTATCTAATATCTATGTGTATCTAATATATATGTGTGTAGTTTAAGAAATGATAATAAACTACAATGTGGTTGACGAAGTTGGTAAAATAACAACGACGAGAAACTAAATTTACAATCGCCATGATAAGCCACCATAGAAAACGGGAGCCCTCTTTAAAGAAGAAGAACAAAGTTTCTTTAATGTGTCTTTCATAACTACAACTACAGTTATTGAATACTAGAATTAAAAGAAGATATACGCTTGTTTTCAAGATAGGCTTGTTTTCAAGATAGGCTTGTTTTCAAAACAAGCCGGCAACGCAAGAAAGAGACTGTGGAGAGACGAGGACGCGGCCTATAGCTATAGACTCCATCATGGGTGCATCGTAGTCATTAATCTCGTGATGATGCAGGCCCTGTTTACAGATCTACATTGTTACAAGTGGACCTTGACTTTACAAATAAAAATAACGCTCTGCAGGTCGATTTGGATTACTATTTTTATGGGGAGATGTCCCATTTTGTCTTTGGTTCCTGTGGGATGTAGAGTAATCCCAAGGTCCACGCTCCGTTCAACAGCTCAGGGCAGGGCATATATAATATCCATAACAAAGAAAGATTAGTCACCTTTTGGCCAGGGATAGTGAGAGTTGAGTTGTTGGAGTTGCTGGTGGCAAGGTTACTGGGTTCAGCTTAGCAGTAAGTAGGGTCCCAACTGAACAATTTTATCTACATCTCTCCTCTGCCCTCTTTTCTTTTTTAATTACAAAAAATCGAATGCCTTAATCAAAACTATGAAATGACTATGAATATAAATAGCTGCATATCTTTACTTCTAAAAAAAACGATGTAGTTACATTGAAACGTCGAGTAATCTCCTTTCCCTAATAAGAGCATTTTTACTTGTCGCAACAACCGGGATAAAGATAATTTTACACAGAATACATTAACTTAAAACCCTGCTAAAGAACAAGATTCTTAAGAGTCACAGAGGGCGAGTTGAGAGAGTCAGGCTCACCCTGTGGCCTGTTTGTCAAATTTGGTATCGTTTCATTGTAACCCAGTATAGGTTTGATCTCATTCTTTATAGAGGATTATGTCATTAAAGAGAGTAGCCAAACATATTTGGGTGTGACTTGAGAGTATAATTATATTGTTTCAAAATGTTATTATGTTGTACAGTTATATAGTACAGTTATATAATACATACGTGCTTCGGGTATAAACACAAGGGCGTGTCCAACCTTTAAGAAAATTCAAAGATTATGAACGTTGTC